GCCGTAGTCCAGCATATTCAGCCTAGTGTCAGTGATAGTGAGGTAAGTCTGAACACACACCTGTCCAGTTCTTTTCCATAAATCTAATTCAGAAATATTTCTATCCTTCCAGAACTATGATCGTGTACGCAGCGCGTGTTATTTGTGAATTTAGTCGGTCTGTGTTAGATGTCCTGCTACTAAAGAGTATTTCCAGGTTCTGTGTCGATCCTGATGGCGCATTAAATGGGATTCTCCAGGGACCGTCCGTAGTCCCTGGGGGACCAGGGGCGTCCTTCTGCTCCCGCGGTGTGACGACACTGCTTTTTACGCCGTGTAGCAGGAATCGCCAGTAAAAGAACATGGAATGGAGGTGTGTTGAATTTATTTGGACTTTCTGGACTTGGGTATCTTTACTGATCTTCTTTTTATCGTTGTTTCAGTATGCAGATGAAGAGGAAATGTAGAAGAACCATTTCTAAAGCATAATTATAACGGTCGCGTCGGTTCGTGGTTCTGGGGCTGTTCTAAGGCTTTTCACAGCATTTTAAGGTCACACTTTTTATTTGCGTTCATACTTTCTTTGATTCGAATCATATATAATCCTTTGTATGTTTCTTGTCGTTTGTAAAAATCACAAGAAATAATATCTTTAATTTTTTTCGAGGTGTCTATTTCTCAAAATAATTTAAACCCAATTTGACTTTTGCTCTGTTATGTTTAATTTATTATCAAAAAATATTTTTACAAGTTTAATGAAATGTGTGCCAGGAAATCAGATCTTCAATTAACCATTTTCTTTTTTTTCAAGTATTTTTATAACATAAATGATTATTTTTTATATTTTTATCTAGTCTCGGTAGTGTTGAATGGGGGTGCTAACGTAATTGAGGTTCACAGCCTTTCTTATTTTGGTGTTTTCTGTTCAGTGTTATTTGGGATTAGATTCTTTCTAAAAATCCTAAAGGATATCATTTTTATTTTCTGTAATTTTAAATTAAATGTAATCACTCTATTCTAGTCTCTGTAATGTTGAATCGAGAGTGCTAAGGCAATGGAGATTCCAAGTCTTTCATTGTTTTAGTGGTCTCTTCTTAGCGTTATTTGGGATTAGGTTCTTTTCAAAAAAATCTGGAGGACATAATTTTTATTTTCTGTAATTTTAAACTAAAAAGGTGAGGTATCATGATCGTGAGGTATCACGATCCTTAATAAAATTGTACAAACATATTTTTCTCATTTATTATTATTTAATCTCTTGAGTTCTCTATACAGATTTATCTCGTTAAAGACACCTTAAATCTTTCTTGTTACCTATAGTAGTAAATCTATAATTTTTGTGGTCTTGAGATGTTCGATGTGCAAGGTCTCAGTCGTAGTACCTTCTTTACTAACTGTTGCCTTAAGGTACTCTTGTCCTTAAGGCTGTTTCTGAGGAGGCACGACGATTGGTGCAGGTCTGGAACGAAGATTTTCTGGAAAAGGACAGTAGGATGGAGAGCATGGAACGAGATAAAATCAGGTATGTTATAAGATTTATTTCTTTTTTATTATTTTCAACTAACGTATTTTTTTCTGTTGTTTCAGGTTAGTGAGCGTATATTTTTACACAAGTGATGCACATCGTGGGGAGTTTGCACCAAACGTAAGTTTTTTTTTTAAATTCCTGGTTATTTTTCCTGGTTTATTTGGTTGTTCGTTTGTTTTCCCGGAGATGGCGTGAGCGCGGTCCTGCAGGAGCTAAAGTCACCTGTGGGACCCCCCTCACAGAAGCGAAGCAGAGTGTCGAGTCGACCTCTATCGGGGCTAAAGTCCCCTGTATGAGCGTCCTCACAGAAGCACGTTGGGTTGAGATCCGCAGGGGCTAACGTCCTCTGTGGAGGCTCCTCACAGAAGCAAAGAAGATGCTTTCCTCTCGAAAGCAGCAGAGGTCCATTGGGTTGTTATGTCTATCGGTCTTTTTATTGGGTTGTTATGTCTATCGGTTTTTCTTAAGAATATATTTGATGTTCTTATAGCTCTATTCATATTATCTAAGTCAAATTAAAATCTAGAAAATCTCTAACAGTTATTTTTATTTTCTTAAATTAAACATGTAGGTGTAGGTAATTTTCTTTAACTTCTTAATTTTTTTAACTCGGATTTCGATATCTAAATGTTTAATACAAATAGTCTAAATTTTCTAAATTTATTTTTATATTTTCAATTCAAGTTCAGATATAATTCTAGGCCCCAGAAAAGAGGAATCAAGTTTTTTAAGTTGTTTAGTAGATTTATATGACTTTCTAAGTCACTATTAGTATTAGTATTTTCTGATATTTTAAACTAAATTTAATAGAATAATCAGCCTATAGCCTCTAGTCTCTGTAATGTTGAATCGAGGGCGCTAGGATAATGAGGATTCCAAGTCTTTTATTGTTTTAGTGTTTTCTTTTTAACGTTATTTGGGATTAGATTCTCTCTGATTTACACTATTTCAAAAAAAAAATTATATCATTCTTCATATTATCTTAGTCAAATTGAAATCTAGAGAATGTTTAACAAATATTTTTATTTTCTTAAATTAAACGTGTATAGGTGTAGGTAACTCTCTATAACTTTCTAATTTTTTAACTCACTTTCTTTTACTTATTAGTACTTTAGAGTAAACGCATGCCAATATCTAAGCATTTAATTTTTTATTTCAATAACTAACTATTTTTTCAATAGAAATAGTCTAAATGTTTTAAACTTATTTTTGTATTTTCAATTTAAGTTCAGATATGATTCTAGGGCCTAGAAAAAAGGAATCGAGTGTTTTAGTAGCGCAGTAGAAATTTTTAGGATTTTTTGAGGTCATCATTAGTTCAAGTTTAAATTTTTGAGGTCCAAAACGTAACAGGGTCATATCTAAGTCTGGTTTATTTTCTTAGAAGAGTAGGTCTTGGCGCTCTACAAAGACTGATAGAGCCTCTATGAGCGTCCAGTTTGAGTCGACATCTTCAGATGATTTTTGTAGGATTCTTGTGTCTTATAGGTTCGCGCTGGTTGAAGATATACTTTGTTTGAAGCTTTATACAACAGGTCAGAGTCATGTCGGAGACAAATTTAGGTCTACACAATATCTATGTATATGGTAGTCTTTTTTTGTTACTATTTTTTACAGGTATTGGTATGAGCCTTAGTTGGAAGCACAGCAGGCAGTTTGAGTCGATGCCTGCAGAATATTTGTGTGGGGTTCTTGTATTTCATAGGTTCACATGGGTTGAAGTTCTACTACATTTGAAGCAAAAGAATGGGAATATAATGATCCATAAGTACGAGGCTTCTCAGGAACTACTGCAGCCTACTTGATTCAACGCTTTTAGAAGATTATTGAATTGATCTTCTTGTATCTTATAGATTTACGTTGATTGAACATATACTTTGTTTGAAGCTGTATGCTACGCGTTAGAGAGTCACGTCGAAGCCAAATTGAAGTCTACACAATTTCTATGTATATGATTCTCCTTTTTTCCAGCAGTAGTTCATGATGCTCTAGAACTATCAGTCTTTGTATGAGTCTCCAAGGAACCACAGCAGGGTAATTTTGAGTAGATATCTTTAAGGTTATCTGAATGTCTTACAGGTTCACATTAGCTCATGTTCGGTGTTTCAATATTTTCAGCTCCAAGCTCTTCAAGGACTAACGTTCTCTGTATGAGCTGCACTGTAGGTATTGTGGATTGGTTGTTGCATATCCTTTTTTTCAGGGCGCTATAAGTATGTGGAATTTTTGGGAGGGTAGTGTTGAGTGCTGGGAAGATATCAGACAGATTTTAAGTGTGAAAAAAAAATTTGAGTGTAAGCTGTTTACAGCAACACTAGAAGAAATCTTCCGTCAACTGGACTGGACCAAACTCAACTGGACTGGATAAAGGATTAAAAATAGATGGGGAATGTCTTAACAATCTAAGATTCGTTGATGACATAGTCCTAATTGCCAGTAGTCCTGAAGAACTACAAGCCTAAATTAACGAACTAAATACAGCCAGCAGTAAAGTAAGTCTGAAAATTAATGTATCTTCTACAAGCTAAAACTAAAGTAATATACAACGAACTAGTAGACAGAAAGGACATTCTAATAAATAGCACAACACTAGAAATAGTTGAAAATTAAATATATTTGGGACAAAACTAATACAGAGCTCGGGATCTCTACCACCAGAAATCAACGGAAGAATTAAGTTAGCATGGAGTACTTATGGAAGAAACTCAATCATATTCAAATCCAGAATGCCACTTTATCTAAAGAAGAATTCGACCAATGTGTACTACCAGTTATGACCTAGGCAAGCGAAACCTGGACAATTAAAACGGACATTAAGAGGAAACTGCAGGTCGTGTAACGGTCAATGGAACGAAATATGCTGGGAATAACCAAGAGGGACCATAAAAGAACAGAGTGGATAAGACAAAAAATCCTCAAAAGTCAAATCCCTCAAGTGGCAATAGGCAGGATACCTGGCAAGAAGGACGGACAACAGATGGGCCAGAAAAATTACAGCATGGTACGCACAAGAAATTAAGAGACCTAGAAGACCATGATATTAGGAAATTAGCAGGGATAACTTGAGCTCGCATAGCCAACAATAGACAACAATGGGCCCAACTACATAGAGATTTTCTAAATATGTGAAAGAGGCTACACCTTGGTGTTTGTTGAACAATCTGTTGATGATGATTACAGGTAAGAAAGTATCTTCTTACAGCTTCATAATTTTCTAGATTTTTAAATATGTTTTTTTTTATTTTTTAGATAAAATCATCTGCATCGAATCTGAAGTGTACAAATAAAATATATTGGATGTCTCAGTAAGAAATTTTATGAAAAAAAAAACGTATAAATATGTGGCAAATTTGTGAGTTATTTTGGTAAACTATAATATTTATTATTATAAAACAAAATTCTAGTTTATAATTATATTTGTATTTTTATAGTCATTATATCAGTACTAATACTTTTTTCTTTTTTGTATCAAACTTCTATAGGGAATATTTATCGGAAATCTGAATCAAATTATATTCTCCTTCACCATAAAGTCAAGAAAATCTTGGAAATGGAAAAACGAAATAAATATATGGGTATGGATAGGAGATAGGAGTAGAAGATAACATTTTAAGATATTAGTAGCAGCTGCCAAATTGTTGTGGTTTTTGAAATAGCTACTCGCTACGGTGAGTACAACAATTATTACTTTATATTATTTTTTAACCTCTTATATTGTTACCTTTTCTTAAGATTTTATATGACCTCTTCAAAAAACTAATGTTTTTTTAATATTTCAGGTTAAAACTATGTTGGATGTTCCTTCTTGCAAGAATTTGATGATGGGAGGCAGTTGTGAAGCGATGGACTTGCAAAAAATAGGTAAACATTTCGTTAACTTATCTTGTATCTCCTAAACTCTCTGGTTTCTCTAATATATTATTTACTGATATTTTTCTTTTTATTTTAGATCATTTTTTTTTGGAAATGTACATTAAAATGGGGGAAAAATCAAAGATATAGAGTTGATAATGGACGACACAAAAGTAGCAGACTATTGTAAAGTCTGGTATCACAGGAAATATGCAGTAAGTTGTAGTTATAGAATAGTTTTTATTAGTATTTAATCAACTTAATAGTGAACAAATTTTTAATTATTTCTTTATACTTTTATTACAGAATCAAGCCTTTCCAGCAGGGTAGCTTGAAGATTTATTGACTTTCATATAGAACATCGCAGTGATATGTCTGCCATCACCTTTATTTTGTATAATTAGAATCGAATATAAATAAATATTAGCATTAGAGTTTATTATTAGACCCAATATACAGGGCGATTCCTGTAAGTCGGTCATGCTTTCGGGGAATTATAGGGGACGTCGAAATATTAATTTTCATATAGCACACTATGGGTCGGAAATGCCTCTTACGCAAGATACAGGGTGTTAAGTTTTAGAAAATTTAAAGATATTCTTTAATAGTTTTTTAACAGTTGAAGGTATCGTTATAAAATTTCATTATAGGAGTCTACCTAACAGAGAAGAGGTTTTAGTTTCAACCAGTGGCGTAGATGTGAGTTTTTTTATTTACTCGGTTTATTTTCAAGAAAAATTGTCTCTTGCAACTTTCTCCTATCTAACACCATTTTGTCACAATTTAAAAATAAATAAGTTTTTTAATGAGAATCTTAAATACAGCGAATTATTATAACTAGAGGGCAGAAACACATGTGCATCGTTAGCTCCCTTCATCTTGGGTAACTTTGGTACTTTTTACTGTTAGCTCTAAATAAATTTTTAAAAAATTATAAATTTAAACTAGAATTTTTTTATTGTTAATAATAAAATTCTTAGTTTTAAGGTAGTTATTTAGTTTCGCATATTTAAGGTTCTCATTAAAAAAAAAATATTTATTTTTAAATTGTGACAAATTGGTGTTGGTTAGAAGAAAGTTGCAAGAAACATTTTTTCTTGGAAATAAACCGAGTAAATAAAGAAACTCCGCAATTTTTATTTTTATCAGTGGCATACTATTTTTTTTTTGAAAATATTACCTGATGCGTAGCACAGCTACGCCACTGGTTGAAACTAGAACCTCTTCTTTTTACATTTAAAGTGTCTCTGTTAGGTAGACTCCTATAATAACACTTTATAACGATACCTCCAATTGTTAAAAAACTATTAAAGAATATCTTTAATCTTTCAAAAACTTTAACACTCTGTATCTTGCGTAAGAGGCATTTCCGACCCATACTGTGCTATATCAAAATTAATATTTCGACGTCCCCCATCATTCCCCTAAAGCATGACCGACTTACAGGAATCACCCTGTATAGCAATAATTTTTTACCCTGCCACTTGATGGTAACATTTTTAATACAATATATTTTAATAAATATTTTAATATATTAAACATGTGTTTTATTTATGGCAAACTTACTATAACAATTAATAGAGAAAAATATATTCTTATTAGAGCTACTATATTAACTATAAGAAGAAAAAATAAAATAGCGACCTAAAATATATAATGGGCAAACTAAAAATATAATTGCAATATATCTATACTTTAATATATATGATTCTGAAAAATATGTATCTCATTTCTGTTCAAAATTCAATTTTTCATGATAAAAATGCACAAGATTTGGTTGCCCCGTGCGAAAATTTTCAACACCTCGAACAAATTTTTAACACTACAGAGAAATGCTGAATTTTGTTGACTCTAACGGCCGTATTCATAGTCGATCGCCAGCCGCCCGCTGGCGAAAGCTTTCCCGAAATTCTTCGTTCTTATTTCAGAGTCGAGCGCTCTCCGAGTAACGCGTGCGCACATCCGTCATATAGAGTAACCGCTCTCTCGCCGGCGGGCGGTTGGATAAGCATTTTTTTTCCGTTTCATAGTCGATCTCCAGGCGAAGAACACTTGCGCAGTTTAAACCCCATCCGGTGATTTTCGGCCGGCGACTGGAGCATGTCCTTACCATCACCGGGCGGCCCGCCAGTTTAGTCTGGTTTATTTTTCTAGTTGAAAGAAGCACCAAACAAACTGAATTAATTATGGATATTTATAATATTGTGACGATTAAATATACAATTAAATGCAGAAATCGAAGAGAACGATGACATACGTATTTTTGAGGCCATTATTCATTACATTTGAGGCATATGAATTCCGTCCGTCTATTTGACCATTTAAATGTTTTATCGTTTTGTTTTTGCTATGTTTATAATTTTTTATTTTTCCTATTGTTTTTTCGTGTATTACATTAATTCTCTTTGTAATTTACACAAACTGATGGAAAAAATATACCAAATTCACAAAACATCAGTCATCTACACAAAACAAAAATAGAGTCAATTTAAAAATATAAATTACTTCTACTCTGGTCGTATTTTCCCTTAAAATAATTTTAAAATCCTTAACACAGCACCAATAGGTTAAGGTCTATATCTATCTATAAAAATTTATAAACGTAATAAAAACGAATCCATAAAACTTTCAAATAACCGAACAGACCTATGGAATTCCCTATTATCTAAATTATTAACTTAATATCCTTTTTATTATGACCCAAAAATATACCTAGCCAAAAAAATATGTATATAAAAAATTGTAAATCTTTTTACTATAAGTGAAGGATTACGAAGATATTATTCATTACTTTAAAACGAATTATAACAAAATAATGGACACATCAATAAAATATTTAAATTACCCAATATCAATAAAATATTTAAATATTTTGAGAATGTTAAAGTTCGTATAACCGATTTTGTGTAGAAAAAGGAAGAAAACATGTTCCCTGTTGTTAAAACCCTCCACCCGAAGTGAAATTTTGTCGGGGAAGCGCCGTCATTTTCGCCAGCCAGCTGTGCGCTGGCGGCCGACTATGAAAGAGCTTTTTTCTCTCCCGATATCGAAGCGCTCGCCGGAGAAATCTTCGGCGAGCGCTTCTTTTCGGCGGGCGGCTGGCGCTCGACTATGAATACGGCCGTAAGACTTTGACCTCGTTTTCGAAGTTAAAACGCTAATAACTTTTTAATTAAAAGAGATATCGGGACGCGCTTAGTGCAAATCGATAGCCAAAAACTTTCTAATTTTTTCTCCAAAAAGTAAAAGTTTGTCCTAGGGGGATGAAACTTTGTGTACAGATAGAATAATTCGATAGGTTGAATTCCCTATCGAATGGCACAAAGCGCACTTCGATATCTTAATTAATTTTTGAGTAATTAACGTTTTTCTAAATGAGTCTAACTGTTCGAGCTCGTGGGCCAATAATATACTTTTTCTTCACCTGCGAAAAATATTTTTTCGCCTTTTTTAAGGTAAAAGAAATCAAATCTTTATAGAATAGCGTATGGTTCTATGAAAGAGTGTATACACGGTGAGTTTCCTACCATGTTCTCTATGGGTATCTCAGAAACTAATGGAGATAGAGAGTCGGTTAAAGGGGGAAAGAATTGCAGTTTTGTGGGGTCATAAATATGGGCCTTCCAGATTTTTGAAAAAGTTCATGGCTTTCTAGATATTTTGAAAAAAATCAAATTTTGGCTATTTTAAAAATTATCCCAATTCCATTATAATATATTTTAGACAAAAAGTTTTCAAATAAAAGTTGTAGATAATCACATCCCTAATGAGTTTGTGTTCTCCAATTTTTTCTAAAGTCTGTCATTTTTGACATATTACACAAACATGTTTTTTTAAATGAAAACCATAGTTGGTACTTCATAAAAAGCGCCATTTTTTAAGCTTTTTAGCTATATAAGTTTTTTTTCGAAAAATTACTGAGTTATAGTCAATTCTTATCTTTCTTGGCTAATTTCACTTAGTTGGTATGGTATTCTTATTTTTCTATGATTTATAATTTATAAAAAGAGAGAATATTAAACAGTTTTTTACAATTTGCCATACACAAACTAAGATTTAAAAAATAATATTACTAAGTACATACACTTTTTTTGAGTACATGAATGCATCTTTTTAAAACTGAATTACTACAGAACGATCGGTAGACTTTAAACTTCTCCCGTACCGCCTCTTATTGTTAAAACCTCTTGTAAACTTTGTTGTTAACCATACCGCATAAAAAAAATAAAATGGATAGGTCAGGTGATCGAGGAGGCCCATGCAGCTGGTCCACCTCTTCCTATCCCTGAGTTTGCATAATTATGATATAATTTTTAACGAAATTTTGTCTACAATTTTTCGAAAAAAAAAAATTATAGCTTATATTGCTGAAAAAATGGCGCTTTTTATATGAAGCCATATGGCCAACTATGGTTTCCATTTAAAAAACATATGTTTGTGTCAGGGTTGGAAAAAATCATGACTTTTTTAAAAAAATCAGATTTATTTGATTTAAATCAGATTTTTTTGATTTTAATTCAAAACAATATTTAAATCGGATTTCCAAATGACTAGGACTTATTTCCAGTTAAAGTCCTATCCTAAATGGATAAAGTTTTATAACTCTACCCGATATCGATAACATTAATAATTCTAGGGTGCGTTTGTCATTTTTCCACATCGGTCACCAATATATTTCGCGTTTTTTTTTCCAACGTCTCAAAAGAATTAATTTTTGTCATTTTAACGTCTAGGTATAAAAAGTAAAGCACTGTTACGCCTAAGCAGAAAAGTACAAAAATATATTATTAAACTGATATTAAGTGTCAAATTCAACGAGTGTACAAATTGTTGCTCGATTACTGTTTATATTATTTGCAATGTTTGAAATTGATTAAAAAATGATTTGTAATATTTAAAAAAAATAGTATGTAGGTATATATGTTCTATTAGAATTAAAAATGTACTTTTTATGCTTCCTTGTAACGCCGGAATAGCTTTACGATGGTCCTTCAAAGGTACAGCATCATCAAAAAAAGTATAATTTTTACTCCTAATAAACAACAATAACAACAATACACTATTGTTCGGAAATATTCTTAAGTCGAGAATGAAATTAGGATTATCTTATGTCAAAGTGTAAAATACTTACTGCAGATCAAAATGTCGGTAAGAATTTGGAAAAATACAACCGTTTCAAAAAAAAAATAAAATAATTAACATATTTCCTGATAATGATTATTATAGATTCTCGGATTATTATAGACTCTCTTCAGACGGATGAAGATATAGTCTCTATATCAGAAGAACCTAGTTCTGCACTAGACTGCGAATGATATGTATTCGAACAGCGAATTTTTGTCACATAAATTTAAAATAAATCCCTGCGTTTAGCGGTCTAATGGATTCGCACGAAATTACTTCAAAAATCGGTCCAACATTTAAACGGTTTTAACATTTAAATTAAATTATATCTTTTATAGTTTTCTAGGACACATTTTTATAACTTTAACAGTTATTTTTTGATTTATAACCAAGTTTTTTTTTTTTTATTTAAATCACATGATTAAAATTAAAAAAATCACTTGATTTAAATCATGCCAACCCTGGTTTGTGTCATATGTCAAAAATGACAGGCTTTAGAAAAAATCGGAGAACACAAACACATTGAGGATGTGAATATCTACAACTTTTATCTGAAAAGTTTTTGTCTAAAATAGATTATAATGGAATTAGGGACAATTTTTAAAATAGCCAAAATTTGTTTTTTTCGAAATATCTACTAAGCCATGAACTTTTTCAAAAATCTGAAAGGCGCATGTTTATGATCTCACAAAACTGCAATTCTTTCCCCATTTAACCGACTTTCTATCTCGAGTAGATTTCGAGATACGAGTTTCAGAGAACATCGTAGGAAACTCACCCTGTGTATCACTAAATTATACTACTAATATTAAGGGCAACTAGGTTAATATTTATTGAATTTATATTTAAAATTTTGATTTGTTTTCCACAACCAGTAATATACCAATATTATTTATTTGTTAGTTGTATTTCTTTAAATTTAAAGACCATTCAAAGGAATCAAAGGAAACTACATTAAAACTTTAATAAGATTTATTAGAAAAAGAATAGTTTATAAATACAATTAACACAAGTAAATATAAATTTACTGTTAGATATTATGCAGCCCACATGGTAAAAGTCCTTGGATTGCTCGTTGATTTTTCTATAGAATTCTCTTTCTGATGTATACCAGATGTTCATATTTCCAGTAACTTGCGCATATTTCTGAAAAAAAAAATATCTTTATACAGGGTGATACAGTGTTCCGAAACATCGCTCCATATCAGGTTTCTGTTTGATATTTTCACTTATAATATCACAAGAGCTTAAATTATTTTCGGAAATTTTTTTGAGGGCACGAATATTTTGAAAATTATCCCGAGTCGAAGACGAGGGATAATTTTCCTAAAATATTCGTGCCCGAAAGAAAATTTCCAGGAATAATTTAAGCTTGCGTGGTATTCGGTAAGAAAATTTCACACCTAAATTTGAAAAAAAAATATTAATCCAACATGACATTTTAAAATAATTTCAATTTGTTAATAATATTAACAAATATTATTATATTTTTAATTAGTTACATCAAATGCTAAAACTCAAATGGGTAATATTTCAATATATAGATATTGTAGTTCATTCACATTATGATTGTAGATCTTATGTTTACCTTTTCAACTGTAAAAAAATTTCCACTAAAGTTTCGTGGCGCCTCGAAAAAATTTCCGGAAATTTTTTCAGTTGCCATGGTAACTAGTCAACATTAAAGCATGTTATTGGTTGAAAAGTAGAGGTGTGAAATTTTCACTCAAATATTTAATCACAAATTATCTACAGTATACAGGGTTCGGCAATAGTGCGTCGGGCATCTGTACAGTCTGACAATCGGATCTGAAACAACGGGGCAACGGTGAGGGGATCGCAATTTTCTAAAATCATAACCGATTTCATTCATAAAAAATCCACGAGCGTGCGGTGTTTCATAAAAATATATCAGGAATTTTTATAATATTTTCCAGTAAAGTTTATAATATTATTTTACTTTAAATGTACCTACATTTTGTTTAGTCATTTGCCAAATATAGTAATATTTGTTAAAACACTTGTACTAATTACAATAAACACAAATCAAGTTAAAGATATAAAACACAATACAATAACATCGCCACTGGATTTTTCAATAGTAGTGACTGTTTCTACTATTACTAGAGAGGGGCATAAAGTTGGGGGTTATGGCGGCAAGACTTGCGAGAATCTCGACCAATCAGACTGGTTGAATCCGGGATGCCATGATGAATTTTGTCAGCGTTGCCAGCTTACCCTAAGCGGACATTATCTTAAGGAAATACTTTACCTTTTATAATAGGCAGAATGAACGAAAACTGTTAATTAGATAAATATACATTATTACAATAAGAACTACGTCAACATATTAGCATATATGTATATAATTATGTATGCTGAAATGAACTAAAATATATTCAATTTATAGGTAATATCGAGCAACTTTGCTTTTCTATAATTAAACGTGACAACATCGACTTTTTTTGCCCGAATTCCTTCCGCTGTTTTAGATTCGTTTGTCAGATAATAGCTCCTAGAATAAAACACTCGAGAATTTTGTTTACGTGTAAACCTAAAGTGTGAACCAAAAAACTTCTATAGGGTTGCTCAAAAAAGTATGAGTGGACCGGGATGATTTTTTTAACGGTAATAACACCCTGTATATTATTGCATTTTTGGCTTCCTTTCAGATCACTTAACATAGTCCTAAGATATGTGTAAATATATTTCGATAATAATTTCTGAGATATTAATAAATAAATGCAAAATATATATTTTTTCAACCTTCCTTAATAAATTTAAAACAAATACAAGAACTGTCCTGAAATCACAACTATATTAGATATCTACTTTAGATGGTTTATACTTACTTTGCTAAAAATATCGTAATCACAAATCATACAGGGTGTTCAAATTTCTACGCCAAACTTTCTAAAATATAAAATAACTTTTCTTTGTTTTTTTTTATATGGAACACCCTGTATATTATTTTTTATTAGATGGAGAGTTAAAAAATGAACATTTTTTGTATTTCAAGTATTTCAAAACTTTTAGTGGTTTCTAAGATACACATACTATTATTTCATATGGCACTTTCAATGGTAAAATATGAGAGAAAAATCATTGGGTGGCTTTGATAAAAATTTCCTGTAGAAAATGGCATATGAAATTTTGAAATACTCTAAATACACAAAATGTTCATTTTTTATTTCTCCCTTTATTGAAAAAATAATATACAGGGTGTTCTATACAGGACTATCTATAGTAAATACCTAATATATCTTTTGCTTTCAGAACGTTTCTTGTATTTTCAATAATTTTTTTAAAAAAGGTTAAAAACAATTCTTTTTTTTTATTTATTGGTAATAAATATCTCTGTAACTATCGAAATATATTTACTCATATCTTAGGATTATGAAAAGTGATCTGAAAGGAAGCCAAAAATGCAATGACATACCATTTTAAGGTTCCATTTAAAAAAATCATCCTGATCCACTTATACTTTTTTGAGCCACCCTATAGAAGTTTTAAACAAAATTCCCAAGTTCTTTATTCTAGAAGATACAGATGCCTGACGCACTATTGCCGGACCCTGTTTAAGGACCAACTTTCATTTTTAACTAAGTATTAATATATAACTTTAATAGACCATATTGATGGTCTAGTTCACAAATGTTGTAAGTACAAAAATTTATGTTTTGAGTTTGACATTTTGAATGAATTTTAAATTTTATAAGTTCACCACCACAAAATTCACGTTATTGATTATACTTCGTAATTTAACACAAACGGAAAATGGCTCTAGCACCAGCAAACTTGAATATTTTACTCACCACTGGTGAGCTTAAGAAAATTTTTGCCTAAATTATTTGTTTGCTGGAAAATGCACTTCCAACATTTGCGTACTAGACCATTGATATGATATTTCGGTATTTTTGGAATTTTTGAAATAAAAATTCCAGAAAATCAACAGCATTTCATTTAAAAACTACAATTTTAAAGTAAAAATATATTTAACTCTTACTTAATTTAAATGTATGCTACTATTGTCTCTATATTTTATAACAAAATAAGAATGAAGATATCAATAGAAAACCTAAAATATGGTAGATTTTAAAAAAGAAACGTCAGTTAAAATAAATATGAAGAAAATACATGTAAGGTTAAATTTTTCTATTAAAAATTGTTTTTCTTTAAAATATATGTACATAAAGCAACAATTGAAGGGTCCAGGGGAAAAACGTGTAATAAGCACCATTTTACTAATGTTACAGGACAGTCCTGCCTGGCTGATGGTTAACAGGTTCTTTCCGTGTATGTATATTTTTATTTTTACTAGGTGTATACCTATCACAGGATTTAACTACTTATGTCCTGCAGAGTTTATACATTTGTAGGAACTAGTTAGACCTACTATAATATTGTAAAACTCTAAAACTAAGAAATTGGCACTTATCATGTTTTTCCACTGGACTGGATCCTTCAATTATTATACAGAAATCTCATAAAAAATATTTATACAGTAAAAGAAAATAAAGGTATGTGTGTTTTCTGGCATATTATAATTTCATTCATGTCGTTTCACTATTCACTTTACAGAAAATTGTAACAAATCAAAAAACACATTGAAATAATGTGAAAAAAAGTTTACCTTATACCACTGAATCTCTTCATGGCAATAATACATTTTCCTAACGAAGTGTAACTTTCCTGAAGAGGTAGGTATTTGCAGGAATAATTTGAAGGCAACAATTAAAAGCAGAAACCATTTCACAGATATGTTTTTTCCACAGGATTCCAATCTTGTTGCTCCAACTTTACGTTTTTCTGGCTTTCACACTTTCAATGAGAAGCAGAGTACAATCGGTGAGGCTCTCCCATATCTCTGGGCTCTCTTATGAAATTCTACGCAAGTTCATATCTTCACAGATAACATTGTTATCTGTGATATCTTCCCAAAAGAAAATTTCATTTCTTTCCATTTTTCTTAGTGTATTCTCCTTTCTTATCTTCTTAAGAAGATCTTACCACTGTATCACATATCTGGGTATATCTGTAATAAAAAATGTTGCTTTAATATATACTCATTATCTTTACCAGATTACACTTAAATTTACGAATAAAATTGTAGTTAAATATTATTAAAAATTAGTTATAAAATATATTATATAGATCGTACATTTTAATTTAACCAGTAGATTTGGTATCAAACCAGATCAAACTGAAAATAAACTCATTTATTTTACTTTTAATTAAAAGAAGAGAAAAAAACATAAAAAATATATATTTTGTAGGGTTAGAATCACGTTAGAATCAATATTAGTATAAAATTTTATTATATATATCAGTAAACACTTTTTGGGAACTAAAAATTATAGATTTCTATAAAATTCTCAGCAAATTTTAATCGAAGTTGAGCTATTTAACGTTAGATAGCACCAAGGGAAGAATATATATTTTTTATAGAAATCTATAAATGACTAGTTTAAGCATCTAACTCATGGTGGCGCCACTATCACATAGTAAAAAACAGAAACCTGTATATGCTTACTTTCAGAGCTCTCCGTATGGTGGCGCCATAATCGTTTAGACGATAGTTCCAAAGATTCTCACAAACTAAAAATGGCGCTGTTGTCAACTAAACGCGCCAAAGGGAAAATTTGAATAGACGGGCGCTTTCTTAATAGGTAAATGTATGCTTTTCTTGTTAATGCTTCACTGTACACATGTATAGTGGCATAAAATATCAAAGTTAGCAATTGTAGAAATTCTTTAAGGCTTTTTAACATTGAATCATCGTTAGTAATCCAAGTCTAAATAACTTGTAATAAAGAATTATTGCTTATACTTGCTAGAAAGCCAGTAAAATTTTAAGTATTCTGCCAAAAAGAAAGAGAAGTTACCAAAGGCTAAACATTAGCCGAAATTAATAAAAAATAAATAGATGGTCTGTTTTATCTGTGATAATAAGGAACCATAAAGGGAAACAATGATGAACATTTTAAAAACCAGTTAAAAATATATTTACCCAAAAGAAGATCGCAAATAATACTTAAATAGGAACTAATAAAATTAGTTCACTTAACTACAAAAATAGTAACAATACCAAATAACTTTACATCTATTCCTATTTTTTTATATACAGGGTGTCTCTCTAAAAGTGGCTCACCCCAATACACTCCATATCGATTTTAAAACTACACTCACCAACACGAAAAACACCTTAAAATTTTAATGTATTTTAAAGATTTATACAGGATGAGTCTTAAATAAGTGCAAATATTTTCAGGGCTGGTAGATCTCGATAAAAGAAACATATTTTCTCTTTACCGTTTTTCAAATACGTTCAAAATAACTTAGTACTATGAAAATTTCCAAAAAAATATATTTTTTGCTTAAATTGTGAGACCACTGGATCTTTTTTGGGTTTTCTTTCTTCTAAATTTTATCTACTACGTATGTTGCCATATTATAAAGAAATAATGTTTTGTAACTAAAAACTAAAAAAAAATCCAATTTTTTTTTTAAAAAACTCCAAATTTTCAAAAAAAATTTTGCGAAAAAAAACTCATAATCGTGTTTCTGGGGTAGAAAAATATACTACACCTAAAAATATTTGCACTTATTTAAAGACTCACCCTGTATAATGTGTTCTAGTGGACCGATTTTGATGATTGATTTTAAGCAGTTTGTATGAGTTTGTAACTAAATTATTTAACTTTTTAGTATCTCTTTCTAAATTAAAAATGAAAGTTTCCATCTGTCAATATTATACGCGGGAACACAAAATGTTGCTATTTTGGTGATAGTTCAGAATGCCTTGTGGAATATGTTAAAAAAGCAAGGAATTTGAAAATCGTTTTATCATCTTTTCTCGATGGTTTGTTTTTTGGTTCATCTCAATAGTTTTATTTTTTTTGAGATATTAGCTTTTGCAGAAGATACTAATAGTTTTTCGTAATTTTTACGTGTTTACGTGTTTATTTCGTGTTTATGATCTATGTAATGTCACTGTTATTGAAAAATCATATATTATTATTGTGTTGGGCTCAAATAAAATGCCAAAAAGAAAGAGAAGTTACAAAAAGAGAAGTTAAAAAATAAAAAAAGTTAAAGAGAAGTTAAAAAATAAAAAATAAAAATGCCGTATTGCATTTTTATTTTTTATTTTTTTTTGCATAAAATATTCTGGTGATGGAATTTTCTGTACGAAACGTCGGCAAGTATCATAGTGACTATATATAGTGTTTTAAGAGTGATGAAAGGATTTAATTAAATTGAAAAAAAAAATCAGGTCCGTATTTAAAAAAAATTAAGTTGATGATGGTCGCCAGAAGCCGAAACGTCAGATTCAATATTTAATCACACAGAGTTATACAGCAGAAAAAGTGGTCATGAAAATGTGTTTTTCATTTTAAGTTATCTTAACAAATAAAGCCAGGAAACAATAGAAAACAAAATTGAAAATTCCGTTTTTTTTCGAATATATTCGGAAGCATTCGGAATTTTTCAAAATGCAATACGGCATTTTATTGAGCATCAAATTGCGCAACTTTGCCTCCATTTAACCGATCCTGTATCTTTTACGGTTTCAGAAATCCCAATGATGAGCGTCGAATTCGAGCCACCCTGTACAATGTACATAAGTGATAAATTGATTTTTAGATTCCTTGCTGTCTTAACATATTCCAAACATTTATCAAAATAATAACCCTTTGTGTTCCCTCGTATAACTGACAGATGGGAACTTTCAATTTTAATTTAAAAATAGACACTAAAAAGTCAAATAATTTGGCAATACACTGCTTAAAAAATCATCAAAATTGGCCCACTAAAACACAATTATATTATAAAACTTTAAAATACATAAAAATTTTAAGGTGTCCGTTTTTCGTGCCGGTGAGTGTATTTTACATAATATTTTATATTCCCGTTTTATTGCGAAACTATAATAAATCCCGTTGCCTTTCTCAACTATTGCACATTAACCTCCAACTAACGAGGCCAGACGGCTCTGTCATTAATTGCGTTTCGGTTCGGAAAGCTTTTGCCTGTCCTGCTGAAAGCAATACGGCAATGAGTTCGATTCGGCCAAAGCTAGAGCTAGACGAGCTGCAGGACTCGTGTGCGCACTTAATATCGTTACGTTTTTGACTTTTCGTTTCGATAAATATCAAACTGCTGACCTTTTCGACGAAATGCGTCTTTTTTATTTATAAATGGTCGAAGGAAATAATTGAAAGACTTTTTTCGAAGCTTGGTTAAAACCCTAGTATCAAAAATAGATTGCTTTTACTACTCTACTAGTCCAAGATCCGGCTTCATGATTATTACGCTCATCGTATTTGTTACGTGCAAAAATCTATTTTTTACGTTCTGTTACGCGTAAAAAACTACTAAAAGTAACTACCAAACTATAAAATACTTGTAAAAAAAATAATACTTTAATACTTTTTTTACTTGTGAAAAACTATTTTTTACGTCTAAAAACTACTTGGTACGTGTAAAAAACTATTTATTACGCGTAAAAAACTATTTGTTACATGTAAAAAACTATTTATTACGTGTAAGTATCTATTTGTCACGCGTAAAAAAAACTATTTTTAACGTGTAAAAAGTGTAAAAAACTACTTTTAACGCGTAAAATACTATTTTTTATGTGTAAAAAGCTATGTGTTACGTGCAAAAATCTATTTTTTACGTGTAAAAATCTATGTGTTACGTGTAAAAACCTATTTCTTAGGTGTAAAAATCTATTTGTCACGCTTAAGGCTCTCCTTCCCACTAGCGCTAGCCTAGCATTTGTAAGGGTTTGGTTGTCACAAAATGCTGCAAAAACCATGTGACCTTTCATCACGATCTTTTTTTATTTGTTTGTATACATCTTAAGACGTGCTTATAATTATATTTCCTTCCCCAAACTCAACTCAAACTGTTTCAAATTTACCCCTAAAACGCCCTAAAAAAACATGATTTTATAAGTAATTTTTTAGCATTAAATGTATTCAAATCGATTTTAAAACTAATTACGAGCATGTCCGGAAGCTTCCTTAATAAAGTGAAACAAAAATTATTTCAAAATATTAAAAAACATGGTCGCAATTTTGTGACGCCCGACCTGTGTCAGAAGTTCAATCGCATTTTACTATAAAATGCTTCAATAGACCACCAAATCACATTCGCAACAATATCGCAAATCTACTAAATCACAATCGCAGCAAAATCGCAAATCGCAACAGAATCGCATATCGCAAATCGCAACAACGTCGCAAATCGCAGTTATCGTAATACTGTTTGCCTAAATTGAAACTCGCAAATAGAAGCAATCGCAATCGCTGGTTCCTATGAGAGCCAGTCGAAGGTTGCGTTTGCGATTCTAAAATTGCTGCGATTGAATAGCAATGTGCGATTTCTTGCTCATCTGTACTGAATACACATGTCAAATTTGAACAATTTTGGATAAGTAATAAGTCAATTAAGTAATTTATGGAAAACTGCATCTATTTTTAAATTAAAACTGAAGAGGTAATAATGCAAAACCAGTCAAAGGTCAACTTAGTATAAGTTGTTAACTAGCCGCTACACTATCCCCGAAATGTTTTACGAAATATTTCGAGAAATATTTCGTGACGTATCATTTTCTATCGAATAAAGTAAAAAAATACCGATGGTGCCATTTAAAAATCAAAAGTTGTAGTCATTTCTGGTGAAACAGAAACACAACTAATTTAGTCATATACTAACATACCAAATCTGTTTTTTTAACTGAAAAAATAAAAAATTATAGGGGTGAGCCACTTTTGAGACGCACCCGGTATAATAAACGCGTATTCAAATATTAATTCTGTGAAATATATATCAATATAACATAAAACGAGATGCAATTAACGAAATATTAGCGTAACAACTATTTTAGAAACGTCTAGGTTTACCTATTTCACTGAGATTTATGAAAAAAAAATCCTTTGCCTCCGATACCAATAGCGCCACGTTTTGGAAATAACTCAAAACAAAACAAAATTGAACGAGGCAACAAAAACCGCCATTAAAAAT